TTTTGTCAGTGCCGTTGTAACTTTGTACGGTCAGTAAGCCGAGGACGACCTATCAGTGGAAGGGGCTTCCCTCCAGAGGTTGGGGACAGAGGTGGGTTGCTCCCGGTTTGGCCCGGATTGGGTGAACTGGCAGTAGCGGAAGAGGGAGACTCCGCCCACCCACCCGGACACTTCTGCGCATGCGCACAAGCTCCCGAACCGGTAGTAAAAATATTGGCAACCCACCACCGCCAACACTGGAGGTCTTCAAAAAGAGACTGGGCAGTCATTTCTTCAGAATGGTCTGGGGGTCTCCTGCTTGAGTAGGGGGGGTGGACTAGAAGACCTCCAAGGTCCCATCCTCCTCCGATATTCTGGATTGTGTTATTCCATTACTCTCCATCCTGTTCTTCTGCATTCTGTTCTTCTCCATCCTGTCAGCCTTTATTTTTCCATTCTGCTATTTTGTCGTTATTCTCCACCAGGAAGCCAAGAAAGAGGAGCAGGAAGCAGGGGCTCCTTCCTGGCCCCCACCCCACCCCCAGGGCACCAAAACAGAGCCCAGGGGGTCCTTCTCTGCCCCCCACCCCAGCCAGGAATCCCACCTGCTCCTTTGCCAAGGGTCCAGTCATCGCCCCCGACAGGTGCTGGGAGGGCTGCCAAGGGCCTGGGAGGAAAGGGGGCAGCTATGAATAGAGACTGGGCAGGGAGGGGGTGGGTGGGTCACCCAGGATGAAACAGTATACTGGGAGGGAGGGAGGGGGGGCAGGGAAAGGTAATATTGGTCAGTTTGAAACGGAGGAAATGGGATAGCAAAAACTGAATGGGGAGCCGTGAGTTTTGGCAGAAATTGCAACGAGAGGAGACGAAAGGAGACGTTGACGAAAGCAAGGAAAAACTCCGTTGAAGGTCAAAGCTTTGTGAATTTTTTTAACGGGTAGTCCTCGAATTACGACCACAATTGGGCCCCGAACTTATGTTGCTAAGGGAAACAGGCGCTAAGTGAGTTTTGCTCCCTTCTTGCCACTGTGGTTAAGTGAGTCGTTGCGATTGTTAAGTTACTAACAGGAGGAGGAGGAGGAGGACTGCGGGGTCCCTGGTCCTCTCTGAGTTTGGTTTCTTTCTTATAGACGTTTCGTGACCCAACTAGGGAACATCATCAGTGCTCTGATGGCTAATGAAATGCCTGCAAGAAAGCTTCCAAGCGCAGAGAGAGCCAAGGACCCTTCATTTCAACCCTCAGCTACAAATTTTGTGGTTGTTATTAGTTGCGAAGTTGTGTCCGACCCATCGCGACCAGTGCGGATTTTCCATTTTTTTTTTACCACAGGTTCCCTCGTGCGCACGATGCTCCAGGTGGTGGGCGGAGCCTGCTGTCACCGCCACTACCGGTGCGCCTGATCCGGACCGAACCGGGAGCAACCCAACTTTGATCACGACCCCATGGTTCTTCCAGGTCTTTCCTCAGCCCCACAATTAAAAGGAACAATTCTTCTTCCTTACTAACCTTTCCATTTCTGCAATGGTTACAACTACAAGTTTGTTGTTGTTGGTTGCAAAGCCGTGTCCGACCCATCACAACCCCATGGACAACGTTCCTCCAGGTCTTCCTGTCTTCTACCAGGTCAAGCCTGCTGCTTGGGTGACTCCATCCAGCCCCCTCCTTCTCTGCTGTCCCCTTCTTCTTCTTTTGCCCTCCGTCGTTCCCAGCATGAGGCTCTTCTCCAGGGAGTCCTTCCTTCTCATTAGGTGGCCAGTACTTGAGATAGATAGATAGATAGATAGATAGATAGATAGATAGATAGATAGATAGATAGATAGATAGATAGAT